TGGTTTAACTCCGTTTGTTCACACTGATGAATGTTAACTTGTAAAGCTGTCAAGGACTGAGAACTCCCCACTCACCACTTTCTTTGCCCACTCATCCTCATCGGCAAAGGCTTGTTTTGTTCCAGGGGCTTCCTTAGATGTTAGGCATACAAAACCCCTAAGTTTTTAGTACCATAAAAGTCCATGTGAAAACTCAGGGTGTTGGTGAACTCATTTCTGAAAGCCTAGCATAAACAAAGTTTCATAATAGTAAATGATATATATAAACACTAAAAGCAATACTATATTTTTCATTTGGAAAGAAAGAATACTAATTTTTAAAAATAAGTAGAAACTGAGGGAAAAGAATGATCTTAACTAGAATTGGAGACCTTGATAATGTCAACACTTAGAATATTACCCATTTTAGTAGTAGTTTGCTGCCTCATCTTTCTTGTTTTTCCCCTAGTAGGTTCTGACTTATTCTGGAGAGGAGTAGGAAGTAATATTAGCAGGAACTCTTGGGAGGCCAGAACAAACAACCTGCGTATGGTGAGTGATTGTTTCTCCATGTTATTTCCTAAAATAGACATGTTGTTGTCTATCTAGAATTACAGTGCTGAAAGGGAACTCATGAATGGTATAGGTGAGGAGACCGCAGACTGGCTCAATTGAGTGACTGGTCCCAGAGTCCAGCCAAGTCTATTAAGTAACAGGAAAGCATCAGATTTTTCAAGACTGAATTGTAGTTCCCATTATAAACATTTAATGCCAAAAATGCCAATATCCCTTGTTCATTTCAAAACAGCACTTTCAAAATAGGTTTCCACAGCCCTGACAGTGAGAATAACCTAAGTTTTACTTCTATCTACTGAACATCTTAAAAACAATTTGTTTATTATTAACAAAGCCTTTTTTTCCCCCCAGGATTGTCGGAAGAAACATAAAGATGCAAAAAGGAAAATGAAACCGAAATAATAAATGTCAGTTGGTTTTGATACTGAATGTGAACAAGGCTTACCTAAGGAAACTGACTCAGAAAATAGTTTTAGCTGACAAAGAAGAAATTTCAGAGTGAAGGAATTTTAAAAATCTGGCTAATGGAATATCATTCTGGTTGCCATCTTTTTCTATGGAACTCCTCTGCATTTCTTCCTAGTTACTTCAAAAAATTAAATTCCACTTCTTAAAAAAGGAAGCACAAGATAGTCCTCGAAAATACTTTTTGTATATAATCTCTGCCCTCTATCCTGAGTAACTAATGGACATCTTCTCATGCAAGGTTTACATGAAGCTTTTTTAAATAAATGGGTCAAAGTACTTGTATTTTCCAGCCTAGGCTTTGTGTGAATTATAGGCTATTTGAAATGTTTATTTCTGATTATGTCAAATACACCTTCCATTTTGTCATTTTTGTTTAAGCTGATGAATTACAAGTCAGCGTTGAGTTTTATACTTGTGTTTTGGTGAATAGCTAACTGAAATATAGGACACTGCAGACCAATATCATATAAGAGTTCTGTGAGGACCAGGAGAGGAAGCCAAATACAGAGTTATCTTGTCATTGGCCTCTAGGAATTAGGGAACAACATCTAGATGCAGACCAGTCCCAAAATTCTAATTAAACCAAAAGCTTATGAAAAATACCAAGTGTCTGAAAGATAGGTAGTCACAATTAGGAGTCAGGACCCTGAGCCCAAATAGGGAAACAGATTTAATATTACATTAAATAAACCAACCTGCCTAGATTTCAAGACATGCCTCCTATCAAAGTGGGCTCTGTGTGAAATAGTATTATATAGGCCCAGTACAGTGGCTCAAACCTCTAATCTTAGTACTTTGGGAGGCCGAGTTGGGTGGATTGCTCGAGTCCAGGAGTTCAAGACCAGCCTGGACAACATGGCGAAACCTCATCTCTACTAAAAATACAAAAATTAGCTGGGTGTGGTGGCCCACACCTGTAATGCCAGCTACTCAGAAGGCTGAGACAGGAGATCACTTGAACCCAGGAGGCAGAGGTTGCAGTGCCGAGATCACGCCACTACACACCAGCCTGGGTGACAGCGTGAGACTCCATTTAAAGAAAAAAAAAAAATAGTATTACATAGACAGTTCCGAGGGCCTATCATTGAGCCATGATGTGTGTACATAAAATTAGTATTTATTGATTTACCTATGCTGAATATAAACTCTTAACTGTTGGGATTTCATCTGGTGTGTTAACCATTATGTCCCCAGGGCTTATGCTCAGTATGTGTTTTTAATAAGGGTCCAAGGAACTAAATAACTTGAAGAGTCATTCTGGATTCCTAGGTTTCCAAAACTTCAGACTTCAAGGAGAGTGGGGACAACTACACAGCAGGATAAATAATTCACACGTTCTACCTTCTCTTGATGTAGATCACAGTTTATACCTTATTTTCTACTGCTGCGTAGGAAATCATCTCAGTAACAATCATTTACTCACAAATACTGCAATTTGGTCAAAACTCATTACGGACTGCTGATCTGCGCTCTGTGTGCTTTCATTGGGGTGGTTCAGCCAGGGCTACAGGATCTGCTTCTAATATGGCCCACTCAGTCCCTGTTCATGGGCTTCCTTACAGCATGGCAACAAAGCTCTAGGAGCAAGTATTCTCAGAGGCAGGAAGCAGATGCTGCCAGTCTCTTAAGGCCTGGCTCAAAAACTGGCTCAGAGTCACTTCACTGATTCTATAGGTTTAACTGACACACACACCCAACCAGACTGAAAGGGAGGGGACACAGATCCTCACTTCTCAGTGGGAGGAGTGTCAGAATGTGTGGCCATAATTTAAATCTGGCACATGCTTCACAAGCAGACAAGTAACATCAACTAGCCTTTCCCACCCCCAGTTCCTGCTCCCCAGATAAAATCACCTTCAGCAATTTAATTTCTCTAGTATTTATCTCCATGTTTCTACCTAACATGCTTATGCTCTGATTTCTTGATTTTTCACTACCAGACACTACATATTCTGAAGACGTGAAAAAATTATTCACCTCTTCAGTCCAAGTAATATATTTTGACTACAGTTAACTTTTTGGCTGGAATTTTTTCATTTGCTTAACTTTTTCTAGATTTAGTCTTCCCATACCTTCCAACTGTGGGACATGATGAGGTTTCTCTTCAAATAGCCTGATCAATCCTTTATTCTTTAATTCATAGTACCTCCCTCCTCCCTTTTTCCTTCCTTTCTGCCTTTGTTACATGCCTAGACAGGCCACAGTGCCAGGTGTTATCAGTACCAGCTCACATTGCTTTCCTTATCTGGAGAGACCAGCTCTCTAGCTCATTACACACCCCTTCCCCCTTTCCCCTGTCTCTTACATGCCCACCTTATCTAAAGAAAGTTAAAATGTTTAACCAAGCAGGGTTAGTTTAGATTGTGAGGCCCAACTCCAGCCAATGGAGAAAAGGTACAGGGGCAGGGTTTGCATCAGGGAGAAAGGCTCTCGTGCCCCTTTGTTCTGGTGTGCTCTCATGGTGACTGGCCAAGAAGCAGCACCCCTCTGCACAGAAGTAAACTGCTTCGCTGAAAATCCTTTTTGAATGTTCAATTTCCTTAGGATTTTGAGCATTATTTCCAACACAATAGTACTATTAATATAAATGTTTCTCAATCAAATTTTTAAATAATTAGACTTGGCCTACCTCACATTTGTCCAAGAGCCCTCTGTCTGGCTCTAATCTGGGCTCTCTGGATAGGTGACAAAATTGAACCAAACAAGGTGGCAGGAATGTGAAAACTTCAAACACATTCCAAATACTTTCAGTTAATTAACAAGATTTGCAGCTACTAAATTATGTACGTTATGTGAGTATAGTCATGGAACATTGAGTTACCCGTGATAGAGGACATGAAACCACTTTAATCCTTCACACAGGGCCAAGATGTTAAGTAAAGTAGAATATATGCTAAACAGACTATCAAAATGTTCCTAAACTTAATAAGATACTGCATTCTACCTATTCTAGGCCAGATCAATTTTTCATATCCCTCTAATGGATACAATAAGCAGTAATTGAACTACTATATTGATTGGCAAGATGCAGAATTTCCTTTAGAGGCTCTGGGGCCAAAGCCCGAGGCCTACTGCCCTTTGCAAGGCTCCAGATTTTAACCAGCAGATCAGTAAGGTACCAAGCAGACTCATAGCAATGAAAATAAGTATGCAGGGCGGGTGCAGTGGCTCATGCCTGTAATCCCAACACTTAGGGAGGCTGAGGCAGGCAGATCGCTTGAGCCCACAAGTTTGAGAGCAGCCTAGGCAACACAGCAAGACCCCGTTGCTAAAGAAAATACAAAAATTAGCCGGGCGTGGTGGCGCTAGCCTGTAGTCCCAGCTACTTGGCCAGGGATGAGATGCGAGGATCATCTGACCCGGGGAGGTCGAGGCTGCAGTGAGCCATGACCGTGCCACTGCACTCCGCCTGGGCGACAGAATGAGACCGCTTCTTAAAAAAATTGTTTCTGCAATGTTTTCATTACCGGAAACATTTTAAGTAAAATACAATAAAACTTTTAAACCTGGTTGTCAGGCCCTTCCTTCCCTTTTGTTATTATCGTTTCACGTAGCCATTTATGATAGGAGAAGCGGCTTTGGGGTCAGCGGCTCAGGGCCCAAAAGTATAATTATTAAAGCCATCTCTCCGGAAATTGCTGTTTGTCGATATGAATTTCAGGTACGAAGTGTCCAGTCAGATAAATACAAACGCAAACAAGATGAAGCTCCGACCTCGGCGCCTCTTCCCAGTGGGCCTTCACCTACACAGACGTGCCCACAACCCGAGGGCGACCTCGGTCTACACTACCGGAACAGATACCACCCGCATTCACAGCGCCGCACCCAGCGCCGGTTCGTTTTCCAGGCGGAGCCGCAAACACAGCAAGCACCACCGTCGCACCACACGGACGAGTGGGCGTAATCATGTCCGCCGTGACCAATCGGCGCCTGACTTGTTGGCAGGTATCATGCAGCGCGCACTGATTGGCCGGTGCGAAGCTGGCCGCCTTCCCTGGATCCCGCGTTTTCAGCGCGTTGCATCACCTCCACGCGCCGGGTCGCAGCTTGGACGCCGGGAGAATTTCTTCCAGGCTTGCTGGCCTCCGGGGCTGTCCAGGCACGGGGGTCCCGTCAGGTACGCTTTTTCTTCCCTGCAGGATCCGGCCCTCAAAGGTGAGGGTCACGCACGCGTTACAGCCCCGAAACAGTAGCACAAGATTTAATTTTTAAAAGAACGTGTTTCTTCGGGGCTTGCCATTCGTTCGTTTCCAGCCTTAGGAATTTATGGTCGCCTTTTTGAATGAGTGGTGTTTGAAATGAGTAAAATCTTTTGAGAATGATATACATAGTATAAATTGGTATAGCTGTGACTTTATGTATAGACAGTACTTTTTTTATATGTCCTAATTTATTACCTTTAATGGCTGAGTACTTGATGTACCGTAATTTACTTCAGTCACCGTATTTAAATTGTTTTCAGTTATTTGCCTGCAGAAACAATTATTCGGTGAATGTCATTGTATACATATTTTGTACATTTGCGTGAGTGTACCTGTGGAGTCTGTGTTAATAGGATATAACTAAATTGAAGAAACGTTTGAGACGGTCCCACCTTCAGGTTACATTTGACTTAATAGGTTATGAAGACCTGAGAATAAAAGGGGAAGCAGAAATTGATTTAGAGGAGAATGAAAAGGGGGAACAGAAATAGACTTATAGGTAGGATCCACATGACTTGATGATTACTTGGATGTGTGTATTTTCTGAGCAGTGTTGGGGTGACTCAAAAATGTTATGCCTAGGTAATGAGAAGAGTATTGGAAACGCTAATACGGTAGAGTTAAAAAGGGAAGCAATTGTGGAAAGAATTATCATGGTTTTAGTGTGTGTTTCTAAAATATATTGAGGCAAAATAATATGAATTAATGTAAATAATATGTAGTGAATATCGAAGAAGGTGGTCTCGAAATTGCTGAACGGGAAGTTGAGGTTAAGATGACCTGAAGGAGTTGTGGAGCGGGAAAGAGTGAAGGGCCTGGATTGTAATAAGAGGGAAGCAAAGGCGATGGCGTCCCTCTGCACAACAAGGTTGTTTTGCAAGGTTAACCTGCCCTGTCCCCTGCCCTGTGGTTGCTGGATGCTGTTGTGCATATACAGCTCTCCAGTGGATTCGATGGGCCATAGCAATCCTGTGATTTATGCATGGAGGCTGCTTCTCCTCAGCAGCCGCCATAGCCCGGTCACTGGTACATGGTTCTTCCTGAATAGACAATACTGTTATACTGAGTCTTTATGCTTGGCATAATAGTGCAGTGATTCTTAATCTTTGGGGAAAGTAGAGACTCCCTAAAAAACACAGTAAAAGCTGAGTGAGCTGGCCAGGCCTAGTGGCTCACGCCTGTAATGCCAGCCCTTTGGGAGGCGGGCACAAGAGGATCCCAGCCCAGGAGTTGAAGACCAGCCAGGGCAACATGGCAAAACCCTGTCTCTACAAACCACCCCTCTCCAAAAAAGAAAGAAAAAAAAAAAAAGCTGAGTGTGGTGATGGTGATGCATAACTGTAGTCCTAGCTACTTGGGAGGCTAAGCTGGGAGGATCACCCGAACTCAGGGAGGTGAAGGCTGCAGTGAGCCGTGTTTGTGCCACTGCACTTCAGCCTGGGTGACAGAGTGAGATATTGTCTCAAAAAAAAAAAAAAAAAGTAATGGTCCTCTTCTCAGAAAGCTTAAATCTTATTTTCTCAAAAACAAAAAATCAGATAGATATTCCTGAATAATTGTCAGAACAGTGCGAGAGTGGTGTTGTTCAGACTGTGATGTGAATGCTCATCCCCTCAGGATCTTGTTAAAATGCAGGTTCTGACTCCTAGGTGTGAGGTGAGGCTGGTAAGTCTGCATCTCTAATAAGCTCCCATAGATGTGGGCCATAATAGGACCAGCCTTGAAGAGATTAGAATGTGTTGGTATCTCAAAGTCTGTTAGTCTTCAGATAACAACCCCATAAGTCTGAGTTGGCCTCTAATAAGGTACCCAGTGAACCTAAATAAATCAGTAAATGCACAAACACTTACTTTGGTCCTTGAAAGGCTAGAGGTTATAGTAAGAGTTGAAGATCTAAAATGCCTTACAACTTCCATTTAATACCTTTTAATGGTATACTGTGATCGGAAATAGCTATTTCAGTTAGTTAAGCAGCCCAACTGTTCTTGTCCCGTTTTTTCTTAAATTTAGAGGCACTCACACATCTGAAAAATTAATGAGGGTAAAAGAAAATGAAAGATACTACTTTCACAGACTTTTTTGTGTGTGTGATAACTTGAATCAATAACTTGCTTAGACTATGATGTTTTGATGCTTTCAAAACTGTTTGAGGTATGTAGTAGTGTGTCTTTTCCTGTGGAGTTTATTACCCTGGACTGTTGCGGTTCTTGAGTACTTAAGATTTTTTATCTTCTCTGTTTGTTCTCTTATTAGCAATTCTATCCCACTCTAATCTGATATTGACTTGGAAAGCTTGTCACCCACCTTGTTAGAATTGTTAAGTAAATATAAATAGACTTTGAGAAGGAAAAGTCTCAAGGGTGGCTCACTAGATACTTAAATCGCAGATTGATCAAGTACCTCTGCATGAGGTTATTAGCAAAACATTTTAAAAGACACTTTAAGATTTTTCTCACGGGACTAAACCAGAAAGGTATAGGGCTCATCCTTCATAAAAATCATGAATAAGCAATAAAAGGGGTAAAATAGGAAACTGGAATCTATATTCGAATGTGAGATTCTCATCTTTTTGGCTTTAAGATTTTTAAAGTTTTACCAGTTTTCCTCAAAGAGAATATGAAGTTACTTCAATAGAACTGATTTCTGTCATGTGAGTGTAGGTAAGAAAATTCTTAGTTACTTTGAGATATTTTTCTTCAGATTATCAATGAGTTTTTTTGCACCATCAGATAGAATTGCCGAGATTTGCTTGCTTACTTTTGGAAACATTGTCTACCATTACTGAATATTAAATAATACTGTGTACCCCTCCCTCACACCATATACAAAGATAACTCAAAATGATTTGTGGCCTAAATGTAAGCGAAAAATCTGTAACCTTGTTTAGGTAATGGTTTATTAGATGACACCAAAAGCTCAAGCAGCAAAACTAAAAATAGACGAATTGGGCGTCATTAAAATTAAAAATCTTTGTGCTTCAGAAAATGCCATCAAGAAAATAAAAAGATGGCCCACAGAACAGGAGACAACTTTTTATAAATCATATATCTGATAAAGGATTTATATCCAGAATATATAAATAACCCTTAAAACCCAACCACAAAAAGAGCCCAGTTAGAAAATTGGCAGAGGATAAATAAGTATGTATCCAAAGTGGATACACAAATGGCCAGTAAGCACATGGAAAGACACTCAGCATCATTAGTCGCTAAGGAAATGCAAATCAAAACCAGGAGATACTATTTAACGTCTCCTAGAATGACTGTAATCCAAAGATGGACAATAAGATGTGCTGGGTAGGATCTGAAGAAATTAGAATCCTCATTCACTGCTGAGGGAATGTAAAATAGTACAGTCACTTTGGAAAACATTTTGGCATTATCTCAAAAAGTTAAATACAGAATTATCATGTGACCCAGAAATTCTTCTTCTAGCTACATACACAAGAGAAATGAAAACATGGATCCACACAAAATTTTATACATGAATGTTCATAGCAGCGTTATTCACAATTATCAAAAAGTGGAAACAATACAGGTATTCAGGAAACGATGAGTGGATAAACAAACTGTGGCATATTCATGAAATGGAATACTATTCAGCTATCAAAAGTAATGAAGTACGAATACATATTACATCATGGATGAGCCTTGAAAACATGCTAGAGAAAGGAAACCAGATGCAATAGGCCACATATAGATGATTCTTACAAATTTTCACATTTATGTGAAATGTCCAGAATAGGTAAATCTACAGGGGCAGAAAGAAGATAAATCGTTGCCACTGGCTATGGAGAAGAAAGAGTGGGGAGTGACTACTAATGGTTTTGGGGTGTTTTGGTGGGGAGGGGAGGTTGAATGTTTTGAAATTAGATATTACTAGTTATACTACCTTGTAAATGTGCTAAAAAGCCACTGAATTGTACACTTCGTACATTACAGTATGTAAATTGTACATCAATATACACCCATGTTAGTAATATGGTATTCTGTTATTCCTAGATTTCTCTTTTGACAGTAATAAATTTGATTTCTTTTGCAGCAACAAAATGGTTCAACAAGTTCCAGAAAACATAAATTTTCCTGCGGAAGAAGAGAAAATCTTGGAGTTTTGGACTGAATTTAATTGTTTTCAGGAATGCTTAAAGCAATCAAAACATAAACCAAAGTATGTGAATTTTTTAGGTTAAGAGAAAGTCCTTAAGAATAGTCATTTTTTAGACTGAATTCCATTAAAGCAGATACTCTCTTTTTTTTTTGTTTTGTTTTTGAGATTGAGTCTTGTTCTGTCACCCAGGCTGGAGTGCAGTGGCGCAATCTCTGCTCACTGCTACATCCACCTCCCGGATGCAAGTGATTCTTCTGCCTCAGCTGAGATTACAGGCGCCTGCCACCACGCTGGCTAATTTTTGTATTTTTGGTAGAGACGGGATTTCACCTTGTTGCCCAGGCTGGTCTCAGACTCCTGACGTCAAGTGATCCACCTGCTTCGGCCTATCAAAGTGCTGGAATTAACAAGTGTAACCACCATGCGTGGCCTAAAGCAGATACTCTTCATTAATCTTTCTATTCCCAGAATCCCCCAGCTGTCTGTATAATGGGTACTCAGTAGTAGATATACATTGAATGAATGAGTTCTCAGTTACTAGGGTAAATTTGGTTTCTTTAAAAGGTCATCTGAGTAGAATTTATGTCACCCTCTGTGTCACCCTCTTTCCACCTTTATCTTCATCACCACCCTCATATAGGCACTTATACCTAAGTACCCCATAGAAGGCTACTATAGTAGTCCTCATTCACCTGAAAGAGACTAGTCCTTTAATCACTGTTTTCATTGTATATCTCCTCTGGTCAAAAAGTTTATGAGAGAGGGGTTTATTCCCCTGTTTTACTGATGAGATAACTCAAGATCAGGATAAATAACTTGCCTTATGTCATGAAACTAATAAATGAAAAATGAATAATCACATGGAGGTCTCTGCAGCTTTACCGCAATTATAGCCTTTCTGAAGGCAGGACCACCAGTAAATATCAAATCAATTATGTCTGTCATTTTCCTGACCTTGCTGCTTTTCTCCTTCCTAAAGACTCCACTATGACCACAGCTATCTATAGAAAAATGCTTTAAATTTTGATTGTTTTTAAATGACTTAATATATTTTTATTACCTCTTAGATTTACCTTCTATGATGGTCCTCCTTTTGCGACTGGACTGCCTCACTATGGACATATACTTGCGGGTACAATTAAAGATATAGTTACAAGATATGCTCACCAGAGTGGGTTTCATGTTGACAGAAGATTTGGATGGGATTGTCATGGCTTACCTGTGGTATGTTTGAGTATCCAGCTTTATAATTTTCTGATTTTTTAATAAGCATTAGATTTCATGTAATATGTTCAAGTATGATGAATGTTGACTGTCAGACCTTCTACTTCATTTCTATAGTATTTGTAGTTTGATTTGTTTTGTTTTCTAGAGTTGCATAGTTGCAGTTGTTTTCATTGGGCAGAGTGGTAACAATCTTATCATAAATTTTCAGGAGTATGAAATTGATAAGACACTGGGAATCAGAGGACCAGAGGATGTGGCCAAAATGGGGATTACAGAGTATAACAATCAGTGCCGAGCAATTGTGATGAGATATGCTGCTGAGTGGAGGGTATGTTGGGTTATTTTCAGTAGAATGAACAGAAAATGTAGTTATTAAATGGGCATTGAAATGGTTTGTGGTCCCTTGTGCTTTTTTTATTAATTTACTTTTTGTAGAAAAAGTATTAGCTTCCACCTTCAACCCTGTTACTTAAACTGTTAGCTTAGACTGAATCATCTCTTTTCTGACTTCTGTGTGCCTAAATTGGTCTAACTTTCTTGAATGATCACCAATAGGGAAAAATCTGATAAGTATAACGTATATATATAGGCCTTTTCTTTTTTTCTCAAATACTTTTTTCAATTTTTTAACTTTTCATTTTGAAATAATTTGACTTATTAAACAATTGAAAAAGTAGTATGATGAGTTCCCCTATATCCTTCATCCATCTTTCCCAGCTGCTAACATCTTCAGTAACCATAGTATTAATAGAATTTTCAAAAGCAGTTGCCCCATTAATTTTTATTTCTGACCAATCACATATTGCCTTCAGTTGTCGTGTCTTTTTAGTCTTACTTGAGTATGGAACATTTATTTAGTCTTTTGTCTTTCATGGCCTTCTCACTTTTGAAGATTGCAGAGCAGCTATTTTCTAGAATGTCCCTCAGTGTCTGAGGTTTCCCGATTTAGGTTATGCATTTTTGGTGACAATGCCACAGAAGTGATGCTATGCCCTTCTCAGTGCATCGTATCAGGTGGCATGTGTTGTTGTTATGTCTCATTGATAGTGATAACTTTGTTCACTTGGTTAAGGTGCTATCAACTTTCTGCTTTGTAAAGTTGTAGTTTTTCCTTTGTAATTAATAAGTATATTGTGGGGAGGTTCTTTCCAAATATTCTTTGTCTTGTCATACATTCACTTATTAATTTTAACATCCATGGATGGTTTTTGCCAGTAATAATTATACCTGTGATATTTGCCAAGTGTTGGTTTTGGTAGACTTTTATAAATGAATATTTATACTTGTAAATAACATTTTGTGCATGTAGAATGAATGCCAAGAAAACTGGTTCTTAACCTTACATAGTATGTTGTTGGCAATATAGATTTACTTGTACCATTGATTATTCTATTTTCCCAAAATTTTTATATGTGGTGACAATAGAAGTAAACAAACGTTGATGTAGAATTATAAATATCATTGTCTAATACTGTTCTAATATTAATGTTTAAAGTCTACTGTTAGCAGACTTGGCCGATGGATTGACTTTGACAATGACTACAAAACTCTGTATCCACAATTCATGGAATCTGTCTGGTAGGTTTATTTAAAATTGTAAATATGATAAATATTCTATAAATATTCTGTTGTATTGATTATTGGAAAAGTGCACTAGCATGAATCAGTTTATTTTTGAGTCCATCATTATTTCTCTGAAAATCTTTGGGAACAGGTTTGTTTTTGAATGTAGGACTTTTCTTGTTATTTTTTTGAGACTGAGTCTCGCTCAGTTACCCAGGCTGGAGGGCAGTGGCGCAGTCTTGTCTCACTGTGACCTCTGCCTCTCAGGTTCAAGCGATTCTGCTGCTTCAGCCTCCTGAGTAGCTGGGATTACAGGCACCCACCACCATGCTTGGCTAATTTTTGCATTTTTAGTAGAGATGGGGTTTCACGTTGTTGGCCAGGCTGGTCTCGAACTTCTGACCTAGGTGATCCACCTCGGCCTCTCGAAGTGCTGGGATTACAGACGTGAGTCTCTGCGCCCAGCCTGCCAATTGCTTCTTTTAGTTAACGTTATGTCTTAAACATCATTTGATATCAGTAGATATTAGCATTTTAATGTCTACCTGATGTCTTACTATATTGATCTGTTATGATTTACCAGCCGGTCTCCCAATGGAAGACATTGTTTTTTCACTTATTTGGCAGCCAGAAACTCCAAACAGAAAATGGTGTAAGTGATTGCTTTTTCAGAAAGAGAATTTTGGTTATGTAATTGTGAAACTCCATCTCTTACCAGGTGGGTGTTCAAACAACTCTATGATAAAGGCCTTGTTTATAGAGGTGTGAAAGTCATGCCCTTCTCTACGGCATGTAACACTCCACTGTCCAACTTCGAGTCACACCAGAATTACAAGGTACGTGAAATGTAGAGACATTATTCAGCATTGAGTTCTGTAGGTGGAACACCTAACATTGAATAGTTATGATCACAGTAGGTATTCCCAAGTACACCCAATGTGGAATGTTGCCCACGACATCAGTCACTTTGGCCAGTTCTTACTGAGTGCTGAAAACGTGGCCAGTTAGTATACTAAGGCTCTGTTAAGATGAGGGATTTTTTTTCCACATTGGATTTATGATGTGTCTTAATGTGATAGGTTTTGCTTGTTTTGACCGTATTTTTGTTCCTCTCTGTTGGGTTAACAAGTCGAGCTTTGACATACTTCCCTGTAGTCATCATTTCTTAAAGGTTGGGTAATTTTATGCTTTATCTGGGACCTCATGATACCATTTATTTGTTAATGGTATTTGGAAAAAAATTAATTTGAGATGCCAAATGGTATTTATCTTTCTTCTGATGAAATAAAATCAGTTGTTGTTGTTGGTATGATTGAGGTGTTGAGACGTGTTTGATGTTTACAGGGTATACTGTTATACCATATCTAGACAGATATTAAATACTAGTGAGTCTTCTGAAATGTGAACTTTCTCTTCTCGTGTGTGTATACTGAGTTGTTTTCCATTTTGAGAGTTTATCTGACCCACTGTTTTTAAAGGATGTTGACTTGTTTGGAATTCTTGTTTCATGGCCTAGGTTTGAAAATTACATTAGTAAAATTTGCCTTTCAAAGCACTTTTTATTTATAGAATGCTTTCACATATCCTGTTTGATCTTTGTAAAT